AATATTTTAGTATGTTTATAACAGATATTGAAATCAAAGCATTTTAACAAAACGTATTCTAAATTTTTTATAATTTAGAAACTTTGTATTTAAAATTTATATGAAATGAGTTCAAGAATAATGAACCAAAGCAGTTTGTCCTAGTCTTGAAAGATCATCAGAGAATGTAATATTCCAACTTTGTAATCAGTCCTAATGTATTTTGGGGGGTTCATTATTTGATTCTTCGGTGGAAAAACCATTAAAATAAATTCTCAAAGAAATTATGGAAATACCACAGAAGCTCTGAGATAATTCCACTAAACAGAGAAAAGAATAATAATTTAATTAGAGAGAAAAATGTGTGTTAAATGATCAGAGGAGATGAAGCAGAACCAGCTAGGCTACCATTGTTTTTCTATCTAAATATAATTTTACTATGTGTAATGAAATAAGAAGGGCATAAACCCTTACTATAAACAACTTGCTATTTCAAGGATTCAAGTGTAGTGCCAGTCAAATTACACCCCCTGAGAACATAATGATGTACACAGAGTATAGAAGGACCATAATGTGGATGACAAGGGGGGAATGGTAGAAAAAGAGAGCTATCTGTGATGGTTAATTTTGTGTGTCAACTTGACTGGGCTATGGGATGCTCAGATAGCTGGTGAAACATTATTTCTGAGTGTATCTGTGAGGGTATTTCTGGAAAAGATTAGTATTTGAATCAGTAGATCGAGTAAAAAAGACTTGCCCTCATCATGATGATATGATAGGCATTATCGAATTCTTTGAGGGCCTGAACAGAACAAACAGGCAGAGGAAGGACAAATTGTCTCTCTTCTTGGGCTGCTACATCTGAACTCCTAGTTCTTGGGTCCTGGGACTCCGGGACTCATACCAACAGCTCCCAGTCCTACGGCCTCAAAATGAATTATAATTCCAGACTTCCCGGCTCTATAGCTTGCAGAAGGCAGACTGTGGGATTTCTCAGTCTTCATAACCACATGAGCCAATTCCTAAGATAAACCTCCTCTTACATATATCTCTATATATCCTATTGGTTCTGTTTCTCTGAAGACTCCCAACACAGTATCTTTGCTTTTACCTGATCTTTTCTGTGTAATTTCAAAATATAATTTATAATTACAGCTTTATTGTAAAGGACCTCTTGATACATTGAGTTCTTTCAGTTTTTGAAGCGCTGATTGTGGGTCTCATCCACTTTGCTCCTAATGGGCTATAATCCATATAAATAAATACAAAGATCATAAACTATATGTAATTAGACCCACTTTCCACTTACATAGCCTAAATTTTACTATTCCAAAAGCAATTGCTCTGCAGACTTGGCAAAAACCTTTTTAAAACCTTTTAAGAGGGACTTCCCTGGTGGCGCAGTGGTTAAGAATCCGCCTGCCAATGCAGGGGATATGGGTTCAAGCCCTGGTCCGGGAAGATCCCACGTGCCGCTGAGCAACTAAGCCCATGTGCCACAACTACTGAGCCTGTGTGCCACAACTACTGAAGCCCGTGCACCTAGAGCCCGTGCTCTGCAACAAAGAGAAGCCACCACAATGAGAAGCCCGTGCACCGCAATGAAGAGTAGACCCCGCTCTCCACAACTAGAGAAAGCCCGCACACAGCAACGAAGACCCAATGCAGCCAATAATTAATAAAAAAAAAAAAAAAAAAAAAAAACCTTGTAAGAGACACCAGAGAGCTAGCTTGTGCTCTCTCTCCTCTCAAGCCACATGAAGACACAGAGATAAGCCAGGAGGAGTCTTCAGTAGAAACTATGTTTCCTAAACTGTGAGAAAGTTAATTTCTGTTGTTGTAAGCCACCGCATCTATGGTATTTTGTTATGGCAGCCGGAGTTATATTAAAACAGTAGGATATATTTTTAATCATTATTAAAACAATAACATTTAAAACTACCATGCCCTAATGATAGTGGAATAGTAGCCAAATTGGTATATCCTTGCAGTGTCAGTGGCTACAGAGATTAGTATAATGTCTTGAGAATCATCTGAGCCTAGAATCAAGAATAACTCTTCAGAGCTAGAACCTTACGTAAAACAGTAAAATATTTTCCTACTGCCTATCAAGTATCCTAAATACACCATCTTACTGTAACATTTATTTCATGACTACATCTGTGACATTCATCTGTAAACACTATACAGGAAAAATGATCTGTATACTCCTTCAAAAAACATCCAACATCTTTATATTTTTTAAAAGAAAGAGCCATACTGTGTCCTACAATTCACTAGTACTAAAAGGATCATCAAATGCTAAATACTTCTGCATAATTTCCATTTAATTTTGTGGCAAAACTAAAACTATTCTAAATATTAGTCTATTACCAAAAAAATTATTTAAATAAATACATACTAAGAGCAGTGAGATTCTGAGTTGCCATAGCTCTGAAGTTCACAGTGAAGAGTGTACAAAAACCTCATTTTAATACATGGTTTGTGAAGCAAATGGGCTTCATTGGTTATCTACTTCTGAGCACACAGTGACAAACATAACCAGGAAACTATTATTGAGATCACTCAACATATTATGAAGCAAAAAGGAGTAGACTGTGCAGTATGATCATTGATGACAAGCTCATATTAAATTTCTTTTGTTCTCCAAGCTTCCCCTTGGTATTTATAAATTTCACAAATGTGGCAATGATATTAGAAATGTTAAATTAATTAAGTTCATTCATATAACACAGCAGTATTTATAACTTTTGGAGCTGCAGTAATGTGTCTGTGAATATATTTAATAAAACTGTAACCAAAACTCTTATAGTTTTAAAAATTTGATAAACTATTTTCTACCAAAAATAGTCCTTATGATATTTTTAATACTCATGAAGTTATTATATATAAAAACTCATCAATTCACATATTTTGGCATTTGAGTAGGCTTTTCCTTTTGTATTTTTGTCTTGTTGCTGTTGCCATTGTTGCCATTGTTCCCCCATTTCATCCCCAGTTCTATTACAAATAACTCTGCAGTAAACAATTTGGTGACCAGAGCAATTTGACATTGAGGTCCATTGTGTTTCTAGGTGACAACATAAGATGGATGAGGAGAGAGCAACTTCCTGGAATATCCCTTTGGCTAAGAACCATGAGCCTTAATGTCTAAAATCACAAATACTGACTTGGGCCCTCAAAAAGTTCAATTCTGATACCGTTTCCAGAATGTAGCAAAGTAAATTAACGCATTATTAATTTGTGAGAAGAGTCTCTTGTGACTCATTTGATTACATCAAATTTAATTCCTAACTATGACTTAACACTTCTTTAAAAACAGAACTTTTATGGCATGGAAAACAACTGCATATTTATAAGATATGCATGTTTTATTTTACTGCTGAAATTTTTATTATGAATATGAAAACTATTTAAAAAAATAATGATCCAATGCTAAATCTTAAGAGACAGAACTAAATAGCCTACCTAAGTGGTGAAAAAGCAGTGGAAAGGGGAGTGCATCTAGCTACACCTTCTTCTGAAAGAGCTTTGAATCCTTTATTCTGTTTTTTGTTTTTCCTTTTTGCTTCTTTGTTGAGAAGGGTTTGAGAATTAGATAACTGAGATGGAAACAGGCACATATATGGCTCTAAGGTGAATTAGTTCTCAGTAGCAAGACAAAAGCTTGAGCCTTCTCACTTCTCTTTTGCTATCTAAAAAACCTATATATACCACATAGTTGGGTTTTTCTTCTTGAATTCACGTTCCTTTTAATTTTTTTTAATTAATTTTTATTGGAGTATAGTTGCTTTTATACCACATAGTTCTGAAGGCAAGAATTTTTGATTATTAAATGGACAGGGACAGAAAAATATTTCTATGTGTATTAAACCCAGTTTGAACTTATGAACAGTGAATTATTTCTATAGTCTCTCCCTACAACAGGATAACTTTGTTATATAGAATAGTACAACATATTCATTGTTGTTTATTTGTACTATGATTATGTCAAATACTAAAGATACTAAAGAAAAAAATATTCTGGGAACCTATTTCTGGAAATGTTACTATGCATCACCTTTTGAGCACTAGCTTGTCCTGTTTTAAGACGGAAAGAAAAGTGAAGATAATGACTGACAGAAAAAGCAGGTTGTGAAAAATAATAAAGCTACCCCAGTGTGCTCATTTACAGACTGAGATCCAAATTCAGGACTATAGAGTAAGTTCTCCATCCCTTGCCTATAAGCATTTTAAAGGCTCTGTAGCTCTGTTTCTGGAGGAAAGGTGCTTGCCAATAACCACCTGACCAAAAAAAGAACTATGACTAAGGCTGCAAATTTTAAAAAACAATTTTAATGCCTGGGTCTCAGCTACAACTTCACAGCACTACTGCAATGAAAAAGATTACAGAATGGTAAAGGAGTAGACTCAAAGGATATTTTAGTGGGCCTTGACATATATGCTGAGAAACATAATGCATTGTTCCAGCATCCTTATAAATTAGCACAAAGCTAAGTACACTTCATAAAAAAAGCTACAAATTATTTTCCCAGGCATGTGGACTTGTCTAGTAGAAGAACCTAACCTTGGATTTATTCCAAAAGAGGCTCTCAACTGGTATGCAGCAACTCCTTAAAGGACACCAGTACAAATATAGTAGGATAAATTCCCACCCCCTCCCGTCCCAAAGTTGAATCTCTGATCAAAGCAACAAACAAACCCTTGCTGTGAAGCTAGAGGATAGGTACACAAATAAATTTGTACGACTTTATCTACTAAATAAAAAAAATGTTAACAAATATGAATTATAATCTTAGCAATGAGCAGCAAAGGTTTAAAGCTTCAACCTTAAATTAACCATAATATACACTGGTATTAAAAAACCCCAATTTTTGGGCAATTCAACTACAGACTGCTAACCAAAAACAGGAAACCATGAATACTTCTCTGTGGCTACAGCATAACTACCACAGCATACTGAGCTATGGAGGCTATTTTTAAACAAATCTTCAGAGAAATTCATGATAGACATCTCTTACCTCATAAATGTTGGGGTGCCACATTTTGGTCAAGAATCTGAAGGTAGGTGGTGAATATGGGTAGTCAATAGGAAATTTAATATGCGCCTGAAAAGAAAAAGAATGAAATGCTAGTAAGATTACAGGTTATTCATCTAAACTAACAATTCACCCTGATATACTCCAGCGCAACAAAACTCCTTTCTACACAGTAGACTATGGAGATTAAAATAGCTCATATATATTTTGTTAGCCCCAATGCCAGGGTTATTATTAGCATGTGTTCTAACTATCTCTTTAAATATTTATAAAAATTAATGTTAAATTGCCAAAGCTTAACAGTTATATAATTGAACACACGAATGAAAAACAGTTTAATATGTGTGTCACATTAATGGGTACATTTTATTTTAATAACAAAAAATAATTAATACAACCTTATGGTACATAATACAGAACAAAGATAATTTGTTTTACTTAATACCGTTTACCAACCAGAAGTAACAAATGCTACCATTTTGATGTGGCTCCTTCAAGAGTTTTTGATGCTCATATATGCTTATCTCTTTACAAAACTTATTTTCAAAAACCTGAATATATTTCAAGTTTTCAAAACTTATTTTCAAAAACTTGAATATATTTTATATTGTTTTTTCAATCTGTATCATATCATAAACATTTTCCTTTGTATATATGATTGTTAGTATGTGCATAATGTTCCATCATACAGATATATAGATGAACCATTAAAAAAAAAAAAAACTACTTCCTTATTTTGGAACAGCTGGGTTGTTTTTCACTCTATTGCTATTGTAAATACTGCTACAGTGAATGTCCTTGGCAGTATCCCACATTTCACATATGAAACAATCCAGACAAATTCTCATCTAACAGTACTACTAAAAGGGAGTGAAGAAGGGAATGAAAGAACAAGGTAAGAATAAATAAGCTAAGGACAGCAGTGAAAATGGCAGAGTCAGGATCCTCAAAAATTCTGTCTTCAGGACTTCCCCGGTGGCGCGGGAAGTGTTTGAGAATCCGCCTGCCAATGCAGGGGACACAGGTTCGAGCCCTGGTCCGGGAAGATCTCACATGCTGCGGAGCAACTAAGCCCATGAGCCACAGCTACTGAGCCTGCGCTCTAGAGCCAGCGAGCCACAACTACTGAACCTGCATGCCACAACTACTGAAGTCCACACACGTAGAGCCCGTGCTCTGCAACGAGAAGCCACCGCGATGAGAAGCCCACGCACCTCAACGAAGAGTAGCCCCCGGTCACCGCAACTAGAGAAAGTCCGTGTGCAGCAACAAAGACCCAACCCAGCCAAAAATAAATTAATTAAATAAATAAATTTTTAAAAAACAAAAAGAAACACTAAAGGAGTCCTTCAGGCTGAAATGAAAGGACACTAGCCAGTACATTAAACAACATGAAGGAAGAGCACAAATCAAAACATAGGATAAGTATAGGATAAATATGAAAGAAACAATAAATGTACTTTTTTGTTTATAACTTTTTTCCTCCTAATTTAAAACATAATTACATAGTATAATAATTATAAATCTATTGAAAGGCAAAAAATACACAAAGAAGGAATTTGTTTACCAATAAAAAACAAAGTAAAGGGGAGGGATCAGAGTTACATAGGAGCAAAGTTTCTGTACACCACTGAAATTAAGATGGTTATTAACTGAACTTATATACAGTTATATGATATTGATTGTAATCCCGAGGGTAACCACTAAGAAATAACTCAAAAATTCAATACCCCTTCATGACTGAAAACACCCAACAAACTAGGAATACAAGGTAAATTCCTCAACTTGAAAAAGGGAATGTAGTAAACAAAACTATAACTAACATTATACTTAGTGGTGAAGTAATTTCAGAAATAAGACAGGGATATCCACTCTCACCACTTCTACTCAACACTATACTGGAGATGCTAGTCAGGCCAGCTGGCAAGGAAATGAAATAAAACGCATCTTGGTTGGAAAGTAAGAAGCAGTTATTTCTATTTGCAAATTAGATAATCCTGTATATAGATTTTCAAAAGGAACCCACTAAATATATTAGAATAACAAATTCAGCAGAATTGCAAGATAAAAGATCAATATACCAGCATCAATTATATTTCTACACTGCAGCACTGAACAAACTGAAAATGAAATTAAGAAAATTCCATTTATAATAGCATCAAAAAGAATAAAATACTTAGGAATAAATAAAAGAAATACAAAACTTACACTCTGAAAAGTACAAAACATTTTTAAAAGAAATTAAAGACTTAAATAAATGTTAAATATCCATGATATTATATGTTCATGGATTGCAAGACTCAATACTGTTAAGATGGTAATCCTCCTCAAGCTTATCTACAGATTCAGCATCACTGTATGGAAACCCCTGTTGCCTTCTTTACAGAAATGGAAAAGCTGGTACTCATGGGACCCAGAATAGCCAAAACAATCTTGAAAAATAAAAACTAAGTTAGACAACTCACACTTTCCAGTTTCAAAACACTACAAATCTATAGTGATCAAGACAGTTTGGTACTAATATAAGGCCAATTCAATGGGGGGAAAGGCCTTTTCAACAAATTGTGCTGAGACAACTGGATATTCACATGCAAAAGAATGGAGTTAAATCCTTTGAAATACACCAACAGACTCTGTATTTTAACAAGGCCTGCCTTCAAGAGAAACCAGTTACAGCCTAACTTGCTAGGATATTGTCAGAGCCTAACTGACCTAGGGGAAGAGAAATATTGGGTTGGCCAAAAGTTTGTTAGGGTTTCTCCATAACATGTTACGGAAAAACTCCAGTCCTAATATCCCACGTAAGGGGTGAGGAAAAACAGAAACTCTTGAAAAGTTCACAGTCCAGAGGCAAAGCCTCATTAAAAAGATTGAAAACTAATCATAGGAGAACAGAACTCTTCCCCTTCCCCTCACACTTCACCACCATATTACTAAGGCATTTATAGCAGTTCCTTTTACCCAGTACATCACAGCTAACTAACATGAAAAAATTATAAGGCATACCTAAAGGAAAAATCACAAATGAAGAGACAGAGCAATTATCACAACCAGACATGGGAAAGATGTTGGAATTATTAGACCGGGAATTTAAAACAATGCTGATTAATATTCTAAGGATTCTAGTGGACAAAGTAAACAGCATGCAAAAACAGATAGGCAATGTAAGCAGAGAGATGGAAATCTTAAGAAAGAACCAAAGACAAATGCTAGAGATAAAAACACTGAAGAATGCCTTTGATGGGCTGAGTAAGACTGACACAGCTGAGGGAAAAAAACCTCTGCACTAGAGGATATTATCAATAGAATCCTCGAAAGCAGAAAAGCAAAGAGAACAAAGACTGGGGGGGAAAAACAGAACAGAATATCCAAGGAGTGTGGGACAACTACAAGAAGTGTAAGATACATGTAATAGGAATACCAGAAGGAATAAAAGACACCATAACGAAAATGAAAAGACAACCCACAGAATGGGAGAAAATACTTGCAAATCATTTATTTGATAAGGGACATGTACCCAGAATACGTAAAGAATGCTTATAACTCAGTAATAAAGAGAAATAACTCAATTTAAAAATGAGCCCAGGGCTTCCCTGGTGGCACAGTGGTTAAGAATCTGCCTGCCAATGCAGGGGACACAGGTTCGAGCCCTGCTCTGGGAAGATCCCACATACCGCAGAGCAACTAAGCCCATGTGCCACAACTACTGAGCCTGCGCGCTAGAGCCCACAAGCCACAACTACTGAAGCCCACACACCTAGAGCCCTTGCTCTACAACAAGAGAAGCCACAGCAGTGAGAAGCCCACGCACTGCAACAAACAGTAGCCCCCGCTCGCCTCAACTAGAGACAGCCCACGCGCAGCAACAAAGACCCAACAGAGCCAAAAGTAAATTAATTAATTAATTAAACAAACAAAATGTTTGGCCAGGATGTCATGAAATTAGAATGCTTTATACATGGCTGGAAGGGATCAAAATGGTATAGCCACTTTGAAAAACAGTCTAGCATTTCCTTGAAAGCATAAACATAGTTAACCACGTACCACACAAGTCCACTACCAGGTATATGTCCAAGAGAAATGAAAACATTACATCCACATGAGAACTTGTACAGAAATGTTCACAGCAGCATAACAGACAAAATGTAGAACAACCCCAAATGTCCATCACCTGAGGAAATGAATGAACAGAAGGTGGTATATATCCATACACTAGAATATTATGTGGCAGTTAAAAGGAATGAAGTACTGGACTTCCCTGGTGGTCCAGCGGTAAACAATCCACTTTACAATGCTTACAAGGCAGGGGAACGCGGGTTCCATCCCTGGTCAGGGAACTAAGATCCCATATGCCCCAGGGCCACTAAGCCCATGAACCACAACTACTGAGCTCATGCGCCTCAACTAGAGAGACTGTGCGCCGCAAACTACAGAGCCCATGTGCCCTGGAGCCTGCGCACCACAACTAGAGAAGAGAAAACCCACACGCCACAACTAGAGAAGCCCAAGCGCCACAACTAGAGAAGAGAAAACCTGCATGCCACAACTAGAGAGCGGCCTGTGCACCGCAACGAAGAGCCCACATGCTGCAACTAAGACCCGATGCAGCCAAAAATAAATAAATCTTTAAAAATAAATAAATAAAAATTAAAGCAAACAAACAAAAAACTGGAGTCCAAAAGCAGTCACACCCCAATAGTAACAAGAATACACAGTTCCTCAGATCTTGGTTTCAAAATACCATTTTCTAATAAAAAGAAACAAGGCTCTTTGGAGAAATACTTGATTCTACATGTGGGGCAAGGAAAATACAAGATGAGCATGGAGCATCTTATAGTGCCTGAAAGTAAGGAAATGCTAAAGAAAAAATATGGAAGCATGTCAAAAACAAAAAACAAACGAAAAAAAGCAAACAACAACAAAAAGCCATAGGAGCCAACCTGAAAGAGCCCCTACTGGCCAAAAGTAAAGCAATTCATAGTACTGGATGATAACCCAAGGTATAAAATAAATATAAATGAGTGCATACTGGTATAAATTATTGAATGAAAAAATACTGGGGAAGGGAC